TGTTCTTCTTGAAGCTGGGCCTGCGTCGAGAGCACAACGAAGCGGAGCAGCATGCACACAAACAGCAAGCATCCTGACTTGGAAGCAGGACGACGGCCTGCTTTGTTGGCTCGGCCTTTGCTCTTGCGAGCTCTTCTTGCGATCGCCAACTTCTAACTGCTTCTTCCAACCCCTGATAGACTGCCTCCTTGAAGTCATCCGGGTTCAGTGTCTCGGCCTCTGACACAGGCACCTGCAGGTTGATCAGGCGGAGCTAGACACATTGAACAACATGCACATGGAGGTTATCTTCAACTTTTCTGGCCTCGCATTCTTTCGACTGCAAGCCCTTCTTCTGGGCTTCCAGCTCTTCCAGCAGCAAGGGCACCTCCCCGGTCATTTCCTGGGATCTAATTTGACAGTGCATCCAGGAAACTATCTACATGAGATGAGAGAGTGCAGGTCCTGATTAGTCAGCTGGTCGATCTCTGCTTCCAAGGCCTCTGGGCAGACCCCAAAGTGGACAGGATGCATGGGTTCTAACAGATGTGCATATCTTATTCACGAATCTGGCGAATAAGCGTAAGGCCTTGATCAAGTCATCGTCGCTGGGAAAGTCGGAACCGCAGGTTCCCAGAGTCAACTGAGTGTCCTGAAGCTGAGTTTCCGGAAGCCGGCCAGCTTCACCCGGCGCCACATTGCCATCAGCCAGTCCGGCGGTGCATGCCGAAGCCAGCGTGCGTCCGAACTGCCGCGGATTTGTTGCTCCTTTGTCCTCACGGAGCAAGCCTTCCAAGAGTTCAATCTTCACATCTGCCATGACAGCTCTAGAAAGAGGCACGTGGCAGTGCAGGGCTACACTTAAGCCTTTGCTGCAACGGTTCAGAGTGCAATCGTTGCATATGCATCGGATTCATGTCGGTGCCATGGTGGCATTGAGGTGGCGGTGGGGCTTCCTATACGGCTCTCGGTGGGGCTTGGCTCTCGGTGGGGCTTCCTACACGGCTCTCGGTGGGGCTTGCTTGGCTCTCGGTGGGGCTTGTTTGGCTCTCGGTGGGGCTTCCTATACGGCTCTCGGTGGGAGGTGGCGGTGGCGGCGGCCATAATTGGTATGAGGTCGCGGGTGGTGGTCCGTCCTCAGCCACGGCCGGTCACGGCCGGTCACGGGTGGTCACGGGTTGGTCACGGGTACTGTCCTCCTGGCGCTATATGTATTTAGTCGAGGTCACGGGTCTGACGATATTTCCAGGTCACGGGCGGTCACGGGTTGGTCACGGGTGCTCCGGGTTGGTCACGGGGTGGTCCCGTGTCAGTGAAGGGTGTCTTCCGGCCGGCATGACCTACATATGTCACATATTAGACATCCTGACAAGGTCGGGTCGGGTTGTTGTACCTAGGAGTTTGGTCCTGGATTCCAGGACAGTTTACACTATAGAAATTTGAGTCCTGGATTCCAGGACAGTTTTCCTATTGGGCAATTAATTATAGGGGAGCTGACTGTTTGGTTGGGTTCATGTATATATATATATATATAGATGGACGATGGATACAGGGGGAGCACCTCCACCAATAGCCAAGGGAGCAACTCCACCCGAGGCCATGCAGTAGATTGGGAGGTTTAGGGTTATCGACAAGCACAGCGGACCAACCGACGACAACTGCGCAAGACAGCAACGGAGCAATGCGGTAATTGGTTTTCTCCTTTAGCATCCTGAGTGCCTGGATCACTGTCGCTTCCAAAGACCCTTTCTCAGCCAGCACAGAGTGGAACCAATTCCCATGAAATCGCGATCGTTGGCCCGGGCGTAGTCCAGCAGCGATGCCTAGGATTTTTTTCACTAAGTAAACATTGCAGAGAGGTCATGTGGCTCCACTGAGCGGCATGAAGATCCGCCATGGATTTGTCTCCACTGGCCCGGAGACCCCTCATTTTGCGTTCCATCCTGCGTGTATCACATGCATGACCAAAAAAGTGAAGACCACATGCATGAAACAAGGCGTACGGGTCCCATCTGACCGAAGCTGCTTGCGATTCCGCAGCCACCATTCGCATATGGTTGTACCAAACCTGACAGGGACTTGAGCATGTCTAAAGTGCGGCCCTTTTGCATCACGAAACACGCATGCAACTCTCGAAGAGGCAGCCTTTCCGGGTAAGCTTGCGAAGCCTTGAGACCAGGCCCCCCACATGTTTTGCGGATGCCTTGGGAGTTCACGTACCTAGGTGCAGGAGAAGATAGAATCAACTGCATTCAAAGTGGGAAGCCAGCTTTACTGGAATCCTGGAAGTAGTGTATGGTGGTTCGATACTTGCACAGCTCAGGACAAGCAGCTTTTGCATGACAGGACCGTACTTGTTGCAGGAGCGAGCTTCGGAGCCGGGAGCACTGGAAGTCTCGAAGGCATCGGACATGTCTTCGTTCGAGTAAATCCAAATTGGTTTCAAACTGTGAGCCGCAAAGGTTGCCAAGGAAACGCTATGCCTGAGAAGTTGAGCTTTGACATGGCCTTCTTGCTCCCTGGCAATGAACCACTTCATGAGATATTGAAGGTCCCAGTGAACCTCCAGCTTGGAGTTGAAAGGATTCTCCAGCGAGAAGACTCCTCCCCGGGCCCAGTGCAGCAAAAGGATGGCCGCTGTGATGCTGGCCAAGGCAGACCCCTGTTGAACATAGGGATATTGAGAATTTCCTTGTGGGAAAAAGGCGCTGCGGCGATGAGTTCCGGAATTCGGCCAGCAGAAGGACGTGCAGACAGTGCCACAATGCACCAAGGATCCTGGTTCCATGAGCAGCACTGTCATGAAGGCGAGCACCACGCCTGGAGGCGAGAGAAGGTCGTGCATCAAGGAGCCTTAGGAGCGGCATTACACAGGACATGCAATTATACATGGCTATGCAGAGGAAGTCGTGCAACCCGAGAATCGTTCAACATCAATGGCTTTGGCATTGTAGCCTTCCCGTCTCCATGCCCCAGCGAGCACAGCAACTCCTGCAAAGAACTCCGTCATTTGCAGATGCCCGGTGGGCAAGTCCTGCAACATCAGGTAGCGGGAAAAGTTGCATATGTGAAAAAAAGATTGACAGACACATTGGCTTTCCAGGGTTATAAGCCTCGCAAAGATATAGGCAGCCTTCCAGCTGGACCACGAAGCACATCATTACCATCTCAACCAAAACCTGGATGAAATCTGTGGAGAGGCCGGAGCAGAAAGAGGAGAGAAGAATCGGAGAGAAGAGGCGTTTTTTTGCATCCGCGAAGCCCAAGGAACTCCCAAGGACACCAGACCATGGAGCTCTCTCAGTCGTGCCACATCCAAGCGTTTCATAAAATGTTCCACGGCCACAAGATCAGGTGTATAGTTGAGCTCAGCAGGGCCAGCCATCAAGGCAGCTGTGATCGGTGCAAAGTGAAAACAACTCATCAGTCCACGACAATGATCTTGAACACATGCTTCTATCTAAACATCTTTTGGCGGGTTGGCATAATGGTCATGCATGTGCACAGTTTCCTTGGAGGCTGTGATTCTTTGGGACATGATTCTAATTAAGCCTTTGATCCACTGCGATGATGGAGAGTTCAGCAAGTATTATATGTGAATCAAGAAACATGAAGCATGGCATAGCCCGGGGCACAGAGCGGATTGTCTTCGGCATCCCAGCCGCTGCTCCAAATCATCATCGAGGGCACGGCCTACAAAACAGCAACGAAGTTTGTCCTGTCTCGCACATGGAAAGCATGCCTGCAGATTTATTTGGTTCACATGCAATGTGCCTTTTCTCATGCTTTACGTCGGCTTCCCTGAAAAGGGGCCGGGCTCATGAGGCACGTCGGCTTCCCTGAAAAGGGGCCGAGCTTAGCAGTTTCCACCCATCATAATACACAGCGGTTCCCGTCCGGGAGCTGTTTCCATCCATGATAATAATACAAGGAGCCGGCCCTGGATTCCAGGGCCGGCTCAGGGAGCTTCAAGCTTGTGCTTGTTCACAGTCTGGACGGCCTCCTCCTCCGTGATTTCTTTCTTCCGCAGCTGACCCATGGCGACCTCCACAACATCCCTGTCGCGGCACTGCACCAGCTGCTTGTCGATCGACTTGTTCTCCGAGTCTTTGACCCTCTTCACCAACGCAAACATAGTTTTGCCATGTCTCTTGTGAGGCTTTATCAGGTAATGCGGGCCGTCATCCGCAGTCGGCCTGGAAGCCGCCTTTTTGGCCGCCGCCTTCTTGCGTGCGGCTAGCCGTCGCTGGTTAAGCGGAAGCACGGGTTCGGGGGCTTCTGCATCCATGCCCTGGCGCATCTCCTGGCAGCATGCAGGTATTTCAAGAAAGTATAGAGGAAAATGTATGATGCGGCTGAAGTGCCTCCAAGTACTCAGGCTCTGGGGTGTAGGAGACTTCACCGGACACGTCAGACTTGCGTTTCGTAGCAGGTCCGCGGGCATCAGCACCGCTAGCCTGACATGCGATCGAGGCATCCAAGGAAACAGGATGTTATAGCCAGAAGCAGCAGAGAAACAGGAGCATCCTCATCCTCACTTTCAAGAATTTCCAGTGTTTTGCCCGATAGCGACGAGAGGATATTGTTCCTGCAAAAGGCACTCAACATAAGAAGCCACACGGTCGGATTCCATGCCTGCCTAAGGGATTGCACCGTGATCTCCCCCGGCACGGCGGACCTGCCCGGAGCACAACCCATGCCAAGTCCAACTTGTCAAACCTGCTATGTGCCTGCTCTGTGACGATGATGCCGTGGACGGCTGCATGATCTCCGGCCTTCGGAAGCTGGGTTATTTAGGGTTTAGGGTCGTCTCGAGGTTTTAGGGATTCAGGGTTCCTGAGGTATATACGGTTAATTGAAGATGCCAAATGACTGCCGCCATGTTCATCGAAATCACCTGTATGCACTAGAGGCCTGGGTTGCGCTGACGACGAGGATGCCTTTTCGGGGTCAGCACTTGGCCTGCAGTGACCCGAGTGGACAGACACACGAAGTGACAGTCAACAAAGGCAACGTAGCCATTATGAGTTCAGCTTGCAACTGAGAGTCTCGTTTTTGAAAAGCTCCCGGCGCACCGTAGATCCATCTTCGTTGAAGAAGAGTAAGAAATCGTCCGGGGGCGATTTTGGATCCCTGCATTCCACTGATCCATCCTCTTTGAAGAAGAGCAACTCGTCGTCGTCGTCTTCCAAGTTTTCCTTGGATTCCTGCGTCCGCATGGCGGCGATCATCTCGAAGAGCTTCGGATTTACGGACATCGCAGAAGCCGGCCATTCCTTTGATTGCCTCTTAGCTTCGTACTTCCAGACCCGGCGAGTCTTCCTCAGTTCGGCAAAGAGAGCTTTAACGTCGAAGGCGAGCACCTCCATCATTTTCTGATTCAATTCCACGTGCTTCGGGCCATCCCTTTTGAACACTTCTTCCAGGATCGACTGCAACCTCACATGAATGAAGACACAACGGGCAGTGCATGGTCACAGCAGACCCGCGACAGCAGACATTCATGGCTCTTTGAAGACAGACCGCGTCTCCACAGACCAGGTCGCCGCCGGGTATTTTCGGATCAGTGGCATCAGAATCCAGTACGACTCCTTGCAGCTGGGTGCGGTATCCCAAGCCTACCTCAAGCAAGCACAACTGGCCAACCGACAACAAGCTCTAGCTACCTACCTCCATGCAAGCACAACCGACCTACCTCAAGCAAGCACAACTGGCCAACCGACAACAAGCTCTAGCTACCTACCTCAAGCAAGCACCCCCTCCGTGAGACTCAAGTGCCTCTTAGATTCCACTTGCATCTCCCGCGTGATTTTTGCAGCGTTGCCGGCTCGATGAAACAGCTGAGCCGGATCTCCGCGGAGGAGATCCGTGGTGTCGAAAGGACAGGATACCTCCTACACAGGTAGCTACAGGATAATGCGTGGGAAGTATGAACAATTCTATTTCCAGCGGAAGCATGGACGAATGCATGGATCCCATCCTCGAGCAACTCCATCACCTGCTCCTTTTCCAAAACCAAATCTTTGATGCGAGGCATGGCGCAAAATCCGGACACGTGCCCAGACTTGCCTAGGGCAAAGCCCGCGTGCATACACATGAAGGCTTGTAGTTTGGATACTGGTTTACAACGGCTCTGCCTAGCTATTGGGTATTGTTTTATCCGCTCTGGAGTTCCAGGGCCGATTTGGATAGGATGCGCACACGACATGATCAAGCATGCACCCTATATGCCACGAAGGCAATCAGCTATAGGGCCAGATATGGCAAAGTGCATTGCAAAGATGGTATAGCGGCAGTCACATGCAGACCCAACCAGCCGTGTTGCGGCAACAATCCCCGCCTGCCAGTGTCTTGCGTTTGCCCATGGCCACGCTCCACACAAGCTGTCGACGAGATCAAAGCCCTGGCAGGGGCAAATTGGCGTTCAAGGGTTAATTATGCTTATGAACTCTGGCACAATCT